AAAAAAAAAAAAACACAAAAGAACACTCTGCCAAGTCTGCCCCACCTCCCGAAAAAGCGATGATGTTGCTCTTTGTGAGTTGGGACAGGACCGGGGAGCCGAGAAAGTGCTGACCAAAGAGTCTGGACCGTGTGTGCTTGGTTTGTTTGTTGCGTCGTTTTATGTCTGGACATTTCCTGTCTTCAGGTTAATGGCATGCTTGGAAAGAGAATTAGCGAAAAGCTTCGCACTATTTTCCGGGTGATGCAGTTCCTCTCTGTGTGTGGCGTGATCATCGCACTGGCAGTGATCATCAATAAAACAGACCTCTCCTCAGCCGATGTTGTTATGTCCTTGCTGGCATATGCATGCACTGGCTGGGGCATCGTCCAGGTAACACGGGCTCGATGTTTGGGGTCAATCGGTACTATGCCTGCCTCCGCCTGTGTGCACCCTTTCTCTGTTTACATCTTTCTTGTCTTCCTTCCTTCCACTGGCAGTGGTCATCAATAAAACAGTTCCTCTGCTTGCAAAGAACTGATATCATCATAAGAATCGAAAGTGATTTGTAAGTGAAACAAATTGCTGAACTTCTGCATATGGGGAGAAAAAAAAAAAAAAATTGGGGGGGGGGCAGGAGGGAGATGGAAGGGGGTAGAAGTGCTAAATCAATCTTTTTTGTTTTGTTTTTGCTAAATTAATCTTTTTATATTTTGAAATGATGAAAGAAAGTGCCGGTGGGGATTTTGCTCTGCTCGATCTGAAGCTGGAGGATACGTTGGAGCATTGCCTACCATTTTCCCCCGAATAGAACTTGCGGTCATTATTAGTTGCATTTGGTGCAACTTTCAGTCCAGATACATCTCGAATGCTCGAACCCTCAACTCTGTGCACTCAGCCGGCGGCGGGCGTTGGCCAATACAGGCCAGGGACACACCAGGTACACTAAGTGGTCCTATGCTCAGTGGTGGAGCAACGGTGCCGATCCACACATGCCAGACATTAGACCGACTCGAACTGCGCGATCCAGCCATTGCGGCTGCCACACATCGAATCTGCTCCTGCGCACGCACTCTCGGGCCGGAGGGCATTGACCGACGTGGCCACTTGTACACCCCCCTTGGGTTGTGCGGGCTCATGGGGGGATGGGGCGGGGAAGGGGGAGTGGTGGACTTAGTTGGAGCACAGGGCAGGGAGGGCAGGGAGGGCAGGGTTCGCCACTTCCCCAGCAGGCCTACGACACCTCCGGCGGTGACAGGCGAATGTGGTGCATGACTACCTCCCAGCAGGTCACCCTGGGGGGCCCTGGAACCGGAGTCGGGGTGTAGTGCGCCCAGTTGCCAGCGATCAGCATCACCCAGTCTCGGTTGATACCTGCCGGTTAAGTGTCCTGTCCTTGAGTGTTCCCTGTCTGTGGGTGGGTCCACCGCACCGACATGGTGGGATGAACACGGTGTGTGCACCCTCCTGTTGGCCAACCTCGCCCTGCACTGTCCCTGACAACCTTTATAATGTAGATTTTTGGCTGGGCGAGGTACTGGTGGTTTAACAACAAAAAGAACGAACGAAGGAGCGTTTGATATTGTTCTGTTCAAGTGCTCTGAAGTTGGTGTTGATTTTTTTTATTTTTTTTTCCTGAAAATAAAAACAGAGCACTCCGGCTCTGGCGCCACTTCCCTTCTGGGAGCATCAGTCTGGTTCCTGTTCCACTGGCAAGTCAAATGACAGAGGGTCTGTTAAAATACAGACCCGTGTTCGAACCCAGATGACGGAAGTTGACGAGTAAAACCAAATATTTCTGAATTGCCTGGGGGCGGTCAGCTCAATGATGATATCTCAAGACCGTCACCCTTAAAAAAAAAAAAAAAGCGAGAGCGATATACAGAAACCAAGTTGCAAAATCACGCAGAAGTCCAGATAGTCATGTACAAGCAGAGAGCTCAAATGCACCAAGATTCCATCCAAATAAGAGCAATACAACGAACTCGTGAGCCAATGTTCAAGCCCTCAGGCCACACCAACGCAGTATTCAATGGTGCTCCTCTCTGTCTGGTGCGCAGTGCCCAGCGTACTCTACTCGATCTACCTATCCTACCTACGTTCTTGCAACAGGCTAACTTTGACTTTGAATACCAATGTACATGACGTCAACACCAATGCCGACCTCCCACATACACCAGGTACGTATTCTCAACTCCCCTCATCATCCCCCGTACACCCACACCTGCGCCGCCTCTTGAAGACCACTGTCGCCCTCCTCCGCCCTCGCGCCCTGCAGCCCAGCTATGGCCGCTAGCGCCCCGCTGCCCAGCAGCACCCCTCACCTCTCAGCGCCCGGCCGTGCCCCTGCCAGCCAGCGCTCATGCAGTCACTTGGGCAGCATCGCAGCAGCGTGTCCGCATTGCCTGCCTAGGCCAGAATGCCAGAGCCTGGCTGGCCTCCTCCCTATATGGGAGAGATTGCTGCTGCTGGTCTGTCTGGGCCTGGCCGTGGAAGTTTCCAGTAGCTTACGGTCGGGCCCAGTGTCTGCGCCCAGGCCCAACTCTACAGTTGAGGGCCTAGGCCCTTTTCAGTTGGGCACACCCAGGATTTTCCAAGCTCCGAATGTTTGCTGTGTTTTCATTGGCCCACGGGGTGGATGCGATGACAATGCTGCATTATCATTTGCCCGTGGCCACTTTGTGATGTGTCGGCCTCACGCTGCATGTGCCCAGGGCGCAACCTGTGTCCAGGGCTCAACTGCCTGGTACAGCTGCTTCTTCTGGAAGAGCCCAGGGTGAGGCCCAGGTTGCACTTCAACCAACTGGCGTGCAGCAACTGTCTGAGACCCACTTTGGAAATTGCCGAGTTGAGGGCCTCTCGTAAATATTCAGGCAGGCCTTCACTTAGGGCGGGCACGAGGCTTGCTGGGGGCCATGGCCAGAACATATGCATGTTGCCTACGTGCCCCCGAGGACACATTCCTCACATTCCATCCCCCTTAGCTTCGAAAGTCCGCTGAGATGCTTCTATGCAGGTGCCTTCCCGTTCAACCGTCTTTCGTAATCTGCCACAATCTGAGGTGCTGTCTCAATCAGTTCCTCTCTGGTGAACCATCGGTCTTCTTTTGGATCCGTGTGATGCCTGAATTTGACCTTGTATTCCCACTTAGGGCGGTCTTCCTGTGTCCACAGGCTTAGGAACAGGCATCTCTCTGTGCTCCAAAATGGCATCGACGTCCACTTGGCCATCCATGGTTAGGGGCAGCATAGGTCTCCTTGATGGGAACTGCTGTGTCTCAAAGAAAGGTGCAAGCTTTGAAGCGTGAAACACAGGGTAAGTGCGTAGGTGACCAGGGATTCGAATCACATGCGAGGGACCATCCTCTTCACCACCCACAATATCCAAGTCTTCCCAAGGATCGAAGTATTGAGGCATTAGTTTCCTAGAGATGCCGAATTCTTGTCCAAACTTACTACACTTAACCCAAACACGTTCCCCTACCTGAAATGTGGACTGTCGTCGATGTTTGTTCTCAGAAGCAATCATTTCTTCTTGAGATTTCTTGATGTGTTCGACAGCTTGCTGCACCATCTTTTCTTACTGGACACCAAATTCAATGGTTCCAGGAGTTGCAACAGATCGGTTTTCAGGCAGGAGGAAGTCTTCAGCAGATCTAGGCTTCCATCCCAGGTGCAGCTGATTCGGACCGACGCCGGTGGTGTTGTGCACAACGTTGTTGTACAGGCTGGCGATGAGTGGTAACTTCTCATCCCAGTCATCTTGGCTGGGCTTAATGTAGTGCCTCAGCAGATGCTGCACTCCTCGGTTCATCTTTTCAGCTTGCCCGCTGACTTCGGGATGATTCTCAGAAGTCATCTGAAGTTGGCTGCCCATTGTTCTGCAGCCTTCTTCCACATCTCACTGGTGAAACAGACATCTCTGACGTCGGTGGTGTTGTGCACAGCGTTGTGGTACAGGCTGGCGATGAGAGGTAACTTTTCATCCCAGTCATCTTGGCTGGGCTTAATGTAGTGCATCAGCAGATGCTGCACCACTCGGTTCATCTTTTCAGCTTGCCCGTTGACTTCGGGATGATTCCCAGAAGTTGGCTGCCCATCTGTTCTGCAGGCGTCTTCCATATCTCACAGACATCTCTGTCACTAACGATAGTCTTTGGCAGTCCAAAATCACGCACTCAGTTATCCATAAATAACTTGATGACGTCCTCAGTCCTTGTGGTCTCCGGCATGGCAACACTGACGAGGGTATGCCTCTTGACAAGTCTGAACGTACTGTTCGGCTTCGTCTAGCATACCAGGCCACCAAAATCGTTGTACCAAAATCAATGTGTGTGTGTGTGTGTGTGTGTGTGTGTGTGTGTGTGTGTG